TCATTTGACAACTATAATTCACATGGCACTATGAAACATGTTACAGTGTATAACAACCGTGCAAGTCCCTGCTTAGTTTTGTGTCAGAAAATTGAGTTAATACCCAAAATAGTCCCTCGACTATGTCGTAATTATCAATTTGGTCCTCGATTATCATTCTTACCCAATTAAGTCCTCAATTATACAATTTTTACCTAATTTAGTCCTTTGTCAATTTGACTGTTTGTTGATTGTCAAAAGTGGAAATAAAGTTGTAATTTTACAAGTTTTCTCCTTCCTCCTCATTTAGCAGCGCCAAACTATTAGCAATAAGTTCCGGTTGGGTTCTAAACCTGTCAGTATCGAAGTAGTGGTTATGCATCGGATAGCCCATGAATTTGATTTCCAACGATTTTTTGACGATCGAAATCTAATCGGAGTGTATTGCTGCATGGTTTGGCGCTGCTAAATGGAGAGGAAGGAGAAATCTTGTAAAATTATAATTTAATCCCGACTTTTGACAGTCAACAAACAGTCAAATTAATACAGAGGACTAAATTGGGTAAGAATTGTATAGTTGAGGACTAAATTGGGTAAGAATTGTATAGTTGAGGACTTAATTGAGTAAAAGTTACATAGTTGAGGACTTAATTGGGTAAGAATGGTAATTGAGGACCAAATTGGTAATTATGACATAGTCGAGGGACCATTTTGGGTATTAACTCCAGAAAATTTATTTAACTGAGAGATTTCGTGTTTTATTTTTAGTAAGTCAATTTTTCTAGATAATACTTGCCACAAAGTGCAACGAGTATTAGTCTTATCTTATACTCGAAGTGTGGCGGCAATAAAAATTATCAAAAGGGAAAAAAAAAACATAGCATAAAATAAAATAAAATTTAAAGAAATAAAAAACATATAAAGGTTGGTACCATATTTGAAATAACAAGTTGAAAGCAGTAGTGGTTTGCCTAAAATTGTTAGAAAAAATTGGTCCCCATCGTTTTTTCGTGACTTTCCGACCTATTCACAAACTTTTGACACATGGTTATTATTTATTAACATGTGCTATTTTTCATATTTAACCAAAAAAAAAGTTAACACCGAAGTTAAATATAATCACTTTTAAATAATTGTAAATTAAAACTGTCCAAATTAAAGGTTTGAACACCTAATTTGAAAATGCCACTGGCCTAATCCACTATAATAATTTTAGTTTATTTCCGCCACTTAATTACTGTAATTATTTGTCTATCAATGATGATATGATATGCTGATTTTATCAACTATAAATTAAAAAATATATATATATACTCTTATTTTAAAAATATTTTAATATAATTAAAATGTTAACATTGAGTATTAATATTGAGCACATATTTTTGCACGTCACGCATATAAAATGCTAGTGCGTGTGTCTGTAAACCTATGGAAAAATCCAAACCATTAATCTGTAATATCTTATGGATAGAAAATCAAGTAAAAAAAAAAGTGGGGTTATTTTCATAAATATTGCAAATTTTTAAAATTTATAATATTTATGAAAACGATCACATCCTTTTTTCTTTATTTTCAACCGTTAGATCTAATAGATCAATGGTTTGGATATGTCCACAAAATCAACTACCACCTCGACAAGGAAGCAATGCATGCATGGAAGAGGTCAACTCGGCTAAGGCAGCTAAGGCAAGTATTTTTGTAATAGACTAGATTTATTTTGCCTTATTTGTAGTTTCATGTTTTACAATATATTTTAATACACACAATTATAATATGCTATTAATAATACTATCACAGATTTGATTTTATCTGAAGATGAGAAAAAGAATTTTACACTTAGGGAGATAGAAATAATGTTTTCGGCTATGGGAAAGAGTTTGAAAGACTTTTCGTGCACGTCGGTACCCGATTTAGAGAATCATGCTAGAACCACCAATCGGTTGATACAATTCAAGAGAAATTAGCATATGATATAAATGTCATGATGGAAGAGAATGATATTTTGGTGCAACAACTAACTGAAGAGCAAATGGCTATATATGACAACGTATTGCAAGACGCTGAGAATAATGTTAGAGGACTTTTTTTGTTTGTGGATACAGTGGAACTGGAAAAATATTCTGGTGGAGAGCATTGTGTTCTGCTTTAAGGTCAAAGGGTGAGATAGTTTTAAACGTTGCATCAAGTGACATAGCTTCTCTTCTACTACCAGGAGGAAGAACTGCGCATTCAAGATTTGCAATACTAATAGCTATTAATGAAGATTCAACTTGCAATATCAGCCAGGGTCAAACACTATCCAACGTGGGTTTGTTTTTTAAGAGGCCGGTTTTTAATCATGGTCAAATGTATGTAGCAGTATCAAGAGTTACTAATCCTAAGGGATTAAAAATTCTTATTTGCGATGAAAATGTACAAACTCAAAATACGACTACAGATGTCGTATATAAAGAAGTATTCAATAATGTCTAATAAATTTCAAATAATTGATTACCCAATTTTTTTTATAGTATATATATATATATATATATATATATATATATATATATATATATATATATTAATATGTATACATATTGTCGCACCGCATAGCTTCTCTTCTACTACCAGGAGTAAGAACTGGGCATTCAAGATTTGCAATACCAATAGCTATTAATGAAGATTCAACTTGCAATATCAGGCAAGGTAACTTGCAATATCAGCCAGGGTCAAACACTATCCAACGTGGGTTTATTTTTTAAGAGGCCGATTTTAAATCATGGTCAAATGTATGTAGCAGTATCAAGAGTTAGTAATCCTAAGGGATTAAAAATTCTTATTTTTGATGAAAATGTACAATCTCAAAATACGACTACAAATGTCATATATAAATAAATATTCAATAATGTCTAATAAATTTCAAATAATTGATTACCCAATTTTTTTATATTATATTATATATTATAATATGTATACATATTACCGTACACCGCACGGGTGCAAATACTAGTCACTTTTAAATAAGGGAAAATGACACTTTTTCCCCCTAAGTTATATATTTATAGCACTTTTTCCCCCTCAATTATTTATGTAAGCACATTAGCCCCCTCAATTATTTTAAAAGTGGTGATTTTTCCCCCTAATATATTAAATTGACATTTCTACCCTTAAAGTAAACATTTTATTTATTTTACTTCTCCAACAAATTATTGCGTATATGTAGCGATTACCACGGTTCGGTACGAACTGAACCAGACACTATAGCAATCGAATTAAAAGTTTTCGGTTATGATTCAGATCTAGAACTCAATATTTGGATTTCAATTTATTAAATTTAAGAATAAAAAAACTGGATCATGAACCGTGAACCGGCGGTTCCGGATCCGATTCGCGATTTTGAACCGTATTTATTTTAAAATTTTATTTTTTATTTTAAAATAGTCTAAATTCAACAATAAATATATTTTATTTTTTCAGTTCGGAACATGAACCGACCATTCCAGTTCGCTATTTTAATAAACTCTAAATATCGCGTTTTGATTATAAATTGTAATTGGGATATTTTGGTTTGGTTGCTAAAGTATCTGTTTGGTTTGAACCAAATTATAGTAATAATTTGTTGGAGAAGAAAAATAAATGAAATATTTTTTTTAAATATTTATTTTAAGGGTAAATATGTCCATTTAACATTTCAGGGGGAAAAAGAGCCACTTAAATAATTCAGGGGGAAAAAATGCTATAAGTATATAACTCAGGGGGAAAAAGTGCCATTTTCCCTTTAAATAATTGTAAATTAAAACTGTCCAAATTAAAGGTTTGAACACCTAATTTGAAAATGCCACTGGCCTAATCCACTATAATAATTTTAGTTTATTTCCGCCACTTAATTACTGTAATTATTTGTCTATCAATGATGATATGATATGCTGATTTTATCAACTATAAATTAAAAAAACATATATATATATACTCTTATTTTAAAAATATTTTAATATAATTAAAATGTTAACATTGAGTATTAATATTGAGCACATATTTTTGCACGTCACGCATATAAAATGCTAGTGCGTGTGTCTGTAAACCTATGGAAAAATCCAAACCATTAATCTGTAATATCTTATGGATAGAAAATCAAGTAAAAAAAAAGTGGGGTTATTTTCATAAATATTACAAATTTTTAAAATTTATAATATTTATGAAAACGACCACATCCTTTTTTCTTTATTTTCAACCGTTAGATCTAATAGATCAATGGTTTGGATATGTCCACAAAATCAACTACCACCTCGACAAGGAAGCAATGCATGCATGGAAGAGGTCAACTCGGCTAAGGCAGCTAAGGCAAGTATTTTTGTAATAGACTAGATTTTTTTTGCCTTATTCTGAATGTAATGTTATAGATGATTAATAAAAAGTTATTTTGGGGTTGAGTTGAGTTTTTAATACTAGTAATTTTACTCCTAAAAAAAAATTGTTAACTCCAACTATTCGGCTGTATGTAATAAAAAATCCTTTTCATAGATAATTTCAACCTTATAGTAAGAGTATAGGTTTCGGCGTCATCAAAATTGGAGAAATTGTTAGGAACAACATGTATTAAATTTTGATAATACCAAACTTAGGAGTTTTGACCCCCCCCCCCCCCCCAATCTTTTTATTTCCTAGACTTAGGATAAGTCTACTCAACATTCGAATCTTAACCGAATGGTTAACCGAGTGACTAAATGTAACACCCCACTTTTCTAACTCTTAATTACATCTCTAAACAGACATTAACAATACTAAGCAGCGGAAAAACTAAAAGATAAATAGTGGGAGTGTCACCGCCACAACCACCACTCTTTGGTGATTGCGATGAGATAAGGATTGCAATTTCAATTCCAACACAATAGAGATTACAGAACAGTATTCTAAATACACAGCGTGAACTAATCCTATTAACTAGGTAAGCCATAAATAACTAATATAATATAAAGACTAGTCAACATAACTAATACAAATAATAATGTAAATAATAACATCTCTAACACACCCCCTCAAGCTCAAGAGTGGTGAGCAACAATGTTGAGCTTGTCACGTAGAGCTGCAAAGCGGGGCCCTGGTAATGGTTTGGTAAATATGTCCGCAAGCTGATCCTTCGTCGAAACAAAATTAACAACCAAGTCACCCGAAGCCACCTTGTCTCGAACGAAGTGAAAATCAATCTCCACATGCTTGGTCCTGGCATGAAACACTGGGTTGGCACAAAGATAGGTAGCACCCAGGTTATCGCACCAGAGTGTGGACGGCTCTCCCGAATGTAGCCCAAGTTCACGAAGAAGTGAAACAACCCAGGTTACCTCAGCTGACACGTCGGCGAGAGCTTTATACTCAGCTTCAGTCGAGGATCGGGCGACTGTGCGCTGTTTCCGAGATAGCCAGGAGATGAGGTTGTCACCCAGGAATACAGCATACCCACTAGTGCTTTTCCTGTCGATGGGACAACCGGCCCAATCTGAGTCCGAAAAACCGTGTATAGTCGACGAAGCAGAAGCGGAAAGACGCAAACCGTACGAGATGGTTCCTTTGACGTACCGTAGCACACGCTTCAATAGACCCCAATGATCACTGGACGGCGAATGCATAAACTGACACAGTCTATTGACAGAAAAGGATAGGTCCGGGCGCGTGATAGTTAGGTACTGAAGTGCCCCAACTAGACGCCGATACTGCGTCGGGTTGTCAAACGGTTCATCCGACGGAGTTACTGGCTGAGTGACTGAAGCGGGAGTTGCCAAAGGCTTGCAATCCATCATTCCGGCACGGTTGAGAATGTCTTTCATATAGCGTTGCTGAGATAGAAGCAGTCCTGACTCTACTTCCAAAGTCTCGATCCCGAGAAAGAAACTAGGTGCTCAAAGATCACGAATTTTGAAAGTTGTGGACAAACGCTGTAGCAACTGAGAGATAAGAACAGAGTCGTTCCCCATCATTATTATGTCGTCGACATAAACTAGCAAGTACACGCGTGATGTGCCAGCAGAATAGTGAAACAGGGATACGTCTGTTTTGGAGGATAAGAAACCTGCAGAGATTAAAAAGTCATGTAAGCGCTTAAACCAAGCCCGGGGAGCTTGTTTAAGTCCGTAAAGCGACCGCTGAAGATGACACACATGATCTGGGTGTGTCGGGTCTTCATACCCCGGTGGCTGCTTCATGTAAACCGTCTCAGCTAAATGCCCATTTAAGAAAGCATTGTGGGCGTCCAGCTGTCGCATAGTCCAGTTGCGAGACACGGCAAGAGAAAATAATAGGCGAACGGTGGTCGGCTTGACCACAGGACTGAAAGTATCAAAGAAGTCCTCTCCGGCTACTTGATTGAACCCCTTGGCCACAAGTCGAGCCTTGTACCGCTCAATCGAGCCATCAGCATTCCGCTTGGTGCGGAACACCCACTTGCAACCCACTATATTCATGTGTGGTTCTGCCGGTATGAGTTTCCAAGTGTCGTTATGTATAAGAGCATTGAACTCTTGATCCATAGCATCCCGCCACTGCGGATGCCCTACCGCCTGTGAGTAACAAGTTGGATCAACAGACACGTTTAACGCCTGAAATGGCTCATCAGTGCCTCGGGTTTGATGCCTAAGCCGCATTACATGTGCACGTTCTTGAACCTGTGTCCGCCGTTTTCGGATTCAAGCCCGAGGTGGCTCGGTTTGAGCCGAAATTGGCCCTTCTATGGCCAAGGGCGGTGATTCCCGAGCCAACGGCGTTGGACTATTAGGTTGAACACGTGCTACTGTGCTACTGTGTCAATTGCACAGGCTAAAAGGGTAAAACTAGAAATACGATTAAGTCTGGGTACTAAATATAAATAATGGAAACGTAAGGGGGAAAAACGTCACCCCAAATAGTCTACATCAATCTTCAAACATAAAGTCAAAGTCTAAAAATCCATACATAACATCAATGGTACTAGAGTTTAGATATCTCTATCTACGAGACTAATCTAACTCGACTTCTTCACACTGCTGGGCCCACCTGAAAGGGGTTTTGCAAGCAACACATAGACAAATAGGAAAACACCCGTTAGCACGAAGCTAAGTATAACCACACTCAACCCTGTAAAGCATTCTAGCATATACTTTGAAAACATTTGATATCTTTATAGCAATAAGCTAATCTCAAATCATCTTAAGATTTATCACATTCTTTCTAGATGCTTGCACCCTATAATAAGAGGATTGTATAAGTCAAACCTCTTATTATACAATCTCTTATGATGCTCTATTCGCATGCAATCACGTATAACATTATGATCATACTTCTCATGCAATCTAATGTAGTGATATTCATACTCATGTGCAATCTAGTGCAACAATATAATCATACTCTTATGCAATCTAGTGCGACAATATACTCATACTCATATGCAATCTAGTGCAATAATAAAATCATACTCTTATGCAATCTAGTGCAACAATATAATCATACTCATATGCAATCTCGTGCAACAATAAAATCGTACTCTTATGCAATCTAGTGCAACAATATACTCATACTCATATGCAATCTCGTGCAACGATATAATCATACTCTTATGCAATCTAGTGCAACAATATACTCATACTCATATGCAATCTCGGCAACGATATAATCATACTCTTATGCAATCTAGTGCAACAATATACTTGTACTCATATGCAATCTCGTGCAACAATAAAATCATACACATATGCAATCTAGTGCAATAATATACTCATACACTCTTTTATAAACTAGAGTACTTTCTGTGGAGGTCTCTTTGTTACTTTCTCGAGTTTCTCTTGACTCTCTTTCTTTCTCTCGAGTCTTTATTGACTCACTTTCTTGAGTCTCTGTTGACTCTCTTTCTTGAGTCTCTGTTGACTCTCTTTCTTTCTCTTATACTCGTAGACGGCTTAGGGTTTCACAGAAGTGTGAATTACCCCATCGGGAACGGCATAATTCTGACCCAATATCTCCTACCGTCTACGGAACCAATCTCGTGGTCCAAACTCTGTGGAATCAGGTATCGAACTATTAGTGTGCACACCCCCTACCAGGATTCCAAGCCTGGCGGGTAGTTTCCAACCTCGTAACGTGGGAAGACGCCGCGTTACATATACTGGGACCGCAATGTCCATAAATATCTCCCGAGAGGAACATAGTCCAAACGGTATCCTCCAAAACCTCACCGATATAGATAATACACAAATATATCTCTCATGCATCAATCTCATACATGCAACAATTCTACTACTTCTCAATGCATCAAAGAATGCTATACCACATGCTTATGGTTTTTGAAAGTATTCTTGGGTTCACGTTGGCCCCTTATGCATTTTTGAAATATGACTCATGTGAAATGTCGAAATGCTCTATAACATGCTTCTAAATCATGTATAAACTAACATGAAGTATTCAAGAATATATCATCATGCTCGGTTTGCAGCATAGCAATTTCTATATAATTCACTCAACAAAATATACTTCATTTCTCATTGATCAAATATCACAATTTAATCATGCTTTCATAATAAATCATATTCTCAAATGATCATGCTTCTTTACTTAATAAAATATCATCAGATCACAATAATCAAATAATTCTTCATACACAGTAAACCTAGCAAATATGCACTGTGTAGCAATTCTTCACAATTTCCTTCATAACATACTCGTTTTTAATCCAAATTCAACGAAGTCAAAGCCAAAACATGCGTCGAGACGATCCCGAAGAGCCGAGCCACAAGGGCCCGTAACACTCGGTCTGAAACGACACGTAGCTTAGCCACAAGGGCCCGGCCACTACACGAGCGAACACCAACGGAGCACTCAAACACAAAACTTTAGCATTTCTACACATTTTTATCTTTATAACAATGACTTCACAAAGTCAAAAGAGATTAGAAAATCATGGGGTTACACACTTTGTAGATCAGAAGTTCTTGGTAAAATCTTTTCTAGGGATGCATAGTATTTTCCAAAATATACGATGTTACGAACTAAGTATTTTTAGGAAAATAATAGAATAAGTTCCAAATATCTTTGTGATCAAATATATATCTCATACATAGTTATATATGTATATATTCTCAAATTCAAGTATAACATTCCCCAAAACATATATACTCATATATATAATTCTTAAAATAGAGCTTTCTTGACAAATCATAGCTTTTGGTAGATCAAAATCTTTCTCAACATATTTATGATTTTCTTAGGAAAACACTTTTATATATGAATAATCCTTCAAGCTTAAGTAATATAATATATATTCTAAGATAATTTCTCAAAGGTTGGAATAACTTAAGTGGAAGAAGCTTGGATTATTAAACAAAAGATTAGGGGTTTGAATCTCATTTTAAACAAATTTTCCAAAGCAATTAAACACTAGAGTCTAAAACTAAGCATCAATGCTAAACACGAGAATTGACCCTAAGACCTCTCACTTCTTGAGTGAAGCTCGAACCAGTAACTTACCACGGACCATAATGATAGATTTTGTCAAGATCCTTCCTTATGGTCTGTGACACCAATGGGCCATGGTGGCGGATCTTGCCTAGATCTGTCCCATGGTCCGTGAATTTCCCAGAGCTAGGTTCTGCAACTCTCTGTTTCCCTTCTCTTAACAACACAGATCAATTCAAAAACAAACAACTTACATTTCATCATTTTAGGCACCCAAAACACATATATATAAACACATTTGAACAACTAAAACACATATCTTAGGACAAAATGTTAAATTTGGGAATCCATGGGTTATACGTCAAGCTTCAACCTCAAAAATCCCTCCATCTCCAACCTCAAGCTAGGTCTTCCTTTTCACCATCTCCATTTCTCAAGCAACCACATATACAATACCCAAAAACACATCTAGCTTAGATAATCTATTTCAAGGACAAGCTAAACAAAGGAAAATGGAGAAGATATCTTACCTAGTCTTGAAACCTAAGCTTGGGTAGAAGAAGAAGCTCCCAAAAATGAAGAAGATGAAGATGGTAGGGAGATGTAGAGAGAGACACGAGAGCCGCTGATTCCTTGAAAATGAATAGTGCACAAGGAAAAGCTACCTCTTATACTTAGGGTTTGGGGGTAAAAATGTAAAATAAAATTATAGGGTTCACCTTGCATCATGAACCATGGTCTAGAAAGATGATTTTTGAATAACTTGGGTCAAAATGAATTTTTCCAAAAATATTTCCAAACAAACACTTGGTTCAGATTTCTCCCGGTCTCACTCAGATTGGTTTCTCAGTTTAAATCTTGGTACACGAACTACCTGAAAACTTAGAATTTTAAATTTAAAATTAATCCCGATGTTTAATTTACTTAAAAGTGGCTCAAAATAATTTATTCAACACCAATTTCATTGCAAAAATTTTTACGGAGTGAAAAATGGCTATTTCGAAATTTCTTAAAATTTGGATTTATGAAATTAAATTTTGGGTTGTTACACTAAACTGTACTAAACCAAATATGCACTCGAGGAGGTCAAGTCTCCAACCTAGGAGTTACCTGAGTGGTTAACTCACAAACGAAACGAAGATAACGAGCCGAGACTTAACCCGAGGGGTTGTCTCTCCACGACTCGTAACCAAAGTGTAATCAGAGACGAAGATTCGAAGACGAAGACTGAGAGGTTGCAAAGATCGAATCGTGGAAGGGTCTACCTCTTGTGTATTATCAAGACCGAGTGATAAAGAAAAATCACTCGAGGAGTTAAGGGATGATTGGTAAAGTCAACCAATCATATTCGGGAGGACACAAGGTTCGAGGCCTTAACCTAGTTAACAACTCTATAGGACTGCCAAAA